GGAATTCATAGCTTGTACATCGAGGGTCGTATTAACAATAAATGTAGATCGTTTTTGGTAGATACAGGTGCAACAAGAACTATTGCACGGCCAGAAGTAGTACGAGACCATCTTAAATTATCGCCTGCAACAGTAAAGCTTAGAACAGCAACTGGTGAGATAATTAATACATATGGCGAGGCTAATATGTCAGTATCCATTGGCCAGACCACAGTGAAACATAGAGTATTAATTGCAGAGATCTCCGATGAGTTCATATTGGGGATGGATTTGCTACGGAAAGTTGGGGCTGTATTGAATGTCAAAGATGGAGTTCTCGAGATCGGTGGTGAAGAGTTGCCGTTTCATGAAGACAAAGAAGATGTTATCAGCTTAATAACTACTTGTGACGTAACAATACCCGGTAATAGTGAGAAAATTTTGATGGCCAGACCTGATAGTTACTGCCGAGAGGGAAGTTTAAGGATGGTCGAAGATGTGAACAATGCCGAGTTCCTAACGGCAAAAGCTTTGGTGAGAATTCGAGATGTCGTTCCTGTAAGAGTTATGAATTTAAAGGGAACTGCTATTAAGTTAAGTAAAAGAACTTTGATCGGACAGTGTGTTCCCGTGGCTTCGATTTGTTCCATGAAAACTAATAAGAAACCGTCGAAATCTAAGTATCCAAAGGAGCTTGTTGAGACGATGATTAAAACGTGCCAAGATCTTGATGATGAACGAACTAAAAAAGTAAAGTCTATGCTGATAGAATTTCAAGATGTTTTTGCCGTTGATAAGAAGGATAATGGCAAAACAAGCATAGTAAAGCACAAAATTAATACCGGAGACGCTCAGCCAATCAGACAACAACCTAGACGACTTCCATTTGCGAAAAGAGATGAAGCCGAAGACATCATCAAAGATATGAGCAAACAAGGGGTAATTGAACCATCAAACAGTCCATGGACATCACCAGTAGTACTAGTAAAGAAGAAAGATGGTTCAACACGTTTTTGTATTGACTACCGACAGCTCAATGCGGTAACTAAAAAAGATAGTTATCCTTTGCCCAGAATAGACGATACTTTGGATACACTTTCTGGTTCTCGTTGGTTCTCCACACTCGATCTGAAAAGTGGATATTGGCAAGTAGACATGGAGCCAGCTGATCGTGAGAAAACCGCATTCTCGATAGGATCAGGGCTTTGGCAGTTCACAGTTATGCCCTTTGGTTTATGTAATGCCCCAGCCACATTTGAAAGAGTAATGGAGGCAGTTTTAAGAGGTCTAACATGGAAAACATGCCTGGTTTATTTGGATGATGTAATTGTAGTAGGAAGATCCTTCGATGAACATGCCAATAATTTGACAGAAGTCTTTCAACGATTGCGGGCAGCAAATTTGAAGTTAAGTCCGAAGAAATGTCACTTGTTTCGACGAGAAGTAAAGTACTTGGGACATATTGTAGCAAGTAATGGTGTTACAGCTGATCCTGAAAAACTTGCAGCAATTAAGGATTGGCCGGTACCAAGAGACAAACACGAAATTAGAAGTTTTCTTGGCCTTTGTACATATTACCGACGTTTTGTCAAAGGATTTGCCAACATCTGCAAGCCATTAACAAAGTTGACAGAAGAAGGCAAAGAATATACATGGAGCGAAGAGTGCCAAAGAGCTTTCGAACACTTACAAATGGCTCTGATCAGCGCACCGATTTTAAGCTACCCTAGACAGGCAGGAAAATTTGTGTTGGACACCGATGCAAGCAACAGTGCAATAGGAGCTGTTCTCTCCCAAATCCAAGATGGGCAGGAGAAAGTCATCGCTTACTTTAGCAAAGTCTTGTCGAAACCAGAAAGAAACTATTGCGTTACCAGGAGAGAATTGCTAGGCGTAGTAAAGGCTTGCGAGCATTTTCATAAATACTTGTATGGCAGAAAGTTTCTTCTTCGCACGGATCACGCTGCTCTAAAATGGCTCTTACAATTCCGCAATCCAGAGGGCCAGATGGCAAGATGGTTAGAACGATTACAAGAATATGATTACGAGATCGAACACAGGGCTGGAAGAGTTCATTTAAATGCTGATGCGCTTTCGAGAAGGCCGTGCAGTGAACATTGTAATCACTGTCTTAAATTAGAAGAAAGACTTTGCCCCGTGAGACGAACCACCGTCATTAATGATCAATGGCAGCCTCAACAACTACAAGACGCTCAAGCAGATGATCCATGTATAAAAAGAGTATTGGATTGGATGCGTCGAAGTGAAAGGCCCTCTTGGCAAGACATTAGTGCATGTAGTCCTGAAGTCAAGTGTTACTGGAGCCAATGGAATTGCCTGGTGCTAAAAGATGATCTTCTTTATAGAACCTTTGAGAACGATGATGGTACAGAATCTAAGCTTCAGTTGATTGTACCTAGAAGTAAAGTGTCAGAAGTATTGCGTCAGTTACATGACGGTGCATCAGGTGGACACTTTGGTATTACGAAGACTCTGCAAAAGGTTCGAGAACGGTTCTATTGGGTGAACTGTAAAGATGATGTAAGAAGATGGTGCCGGAAATGTGAACTGTGTGCAACCAGTAATGGTCCAGTTGGTAAAAAGAGGGCACCCATGAAACAGTACAATGTTGGTAGTCCTATGGAAAGAGTAGCAATCGACATTGCAGGTCCACTTCCAGAGACAAACGATGGAAATAAATATATCCTGGTAGCAATGGATTATTTTACAAAATGGACTGAGGCCTATGCGATACCAAATCAGGAAGCTGCTACCGTTGCAGAGGTACTTGTTAAAGAATTCTTTAGCCGATTTGGTGTTCCCTTGGAGATCCACTCCGACCAAGGGCGAAACTTCGAGTCGACCCTTTTCCAAAACGTTTGTAAATTGATTGGTGTCAATAAGACCAGAACGACACCCCTGCATCCTCAATCAGATGGAATGGTCGAGAGAATGAACCGAACGATGGGTAAACACCTGTCCAAAGTTGTATCAGAACATCAAAGAGATTGGGACCAGCACATTCATTTATTCCTAATGGCCTACCGCTCGGCCGTCAATGAAACTACCGGCCAGACTCCAACCTGCCTGATGTTAGGTCGTGAAGTTCGTTTGCCCTGCGACCTAGAGTTTGGCTCCAGACCTTCCGAAGAACATGTTGCAAGCGAAGATTATGTCGACCGCCTGAAGTTAAGAATGAACAACATTCATGAACTTGCCCGACAACACATCCAGTTAGCCAGTGACAGAATGAAAGATCAATATGATTCTCGATGCAAGAATGAAAGCTATAAAGTAGGTGATCTTGTTTGGCTTTATAATCCACAACGTCGTCGTGGCTTGTCTCCTAAACTGCAAAGACAATGGGAGGGTCCGTATGAAATTAAAAAGAGAATAAATGACGTAATATACCGAATTAAAAAGTTACCGAAAGGTAAACCAAAAGTAGTTCACATAAATCGGCTTGCACCTTATGCTGGCTCAAATGAAACAGAAGAAGCACGAATCCTTCAACATGAGATCGAAGATGACCGGCGACCAAGCTTTAATGAATTTATGTCAAATTACGCAGAGAGAAAGAGTGCTAGATTCGGCGTGACGACAGAAGTTCAGCAGGATCTTTTTAGTGTTCCGCATAACGTCACTCTAGCCCACTGTGTTGCCCAAGATCTTGAGATGACTAAAGGAATCTCATCCGTATTTTATAAGAAGTTCGGTCGTTTGGACGAGTTAAAAAACCAGCAGCCTAAAGTTGGAAGAGTACTGAGATTAGAAGATGGTTCTCGATCTTTGCTGTATATGGTGACCAGGAAGTCGTTTACAGACAGGGCAACCTACGAGAATATATGGTGTGCTCTAACTAATTTGAAGAAAATAGTCTGCAATTACGACATTAAGAATTTGGCCTTACCCAAGATAGGCCATGCACTAGATAATCTGGATTGGAAGATTGTCAGAAGCATGCTAGAAGTGATCTTCCGAGAAACCGCTGTAAGAATTACCGTGTGTTGCACTAATCCAAAGAGATCGTGTCCTTCAAAGACAGTAGACTGTTATTTCTTTCTGAGGGGTTCATGCAGAGCTGGAGAGTCCTGTAGATTCCGCCATCCTGGGCCTACATATAGAGTTGCTGATCGGGACGCTCAGATCTAAGAGGGGAGCAGTGTTACGAACGTGCATTTAACGAGGCACGTATAACCGGTGCATACCGAAAAAGCACCTCATGCTTCCATGCGGCGGCATCTCGAAAGCGACTCGATATTTCGAGAAAGATCAGTCTAGAGGTGGGAACTTTCTAGAAAATAGTAACTTTAGTATATATATGTAACGATCTTAGGAGTTAGTTTAGTTGATAAGAGAATACCGAACTGTAAAGTTATAAATAAATATATTTATATAAATTCGAACCGCTCGTTTTATTTAAAAACGGTACAGTAGATTATGACGAGTCTCTTAACGCCTTAAATAATGCCATAATTATCATTAAAGTCGCTTATTAGAACTGGATAAAATGATATAAAATTTGTACTTTGGTGACGAAATATTTTTATAAAAATAGCGATTAATATTTTTATAAAAATATCGATAAACATTTTTTAGAATGTTCAAATAAAACGTTAATTTTGCTAATACCCAAAAAAAAAAACCAACAAAAATACTTTAACAAAATATATAAACAAAATATACAGATATATCATCAAAATACCCACTTCAAAAGACGTAGTTTACATATTATTACACAAAAAATCTTTTACAACGCAGTCTCGATATTTAGTAGTCATATCTCGTACTGTAAAATAATAAAATAAAAGGTTTTATGTGGTATTTTTTTCAGGAGTCATTTTAAATCCGGTTCTTAATCGATTTTATTTTGAAAACATATCCAGAAACAAAAATACACTTTTGGTTACAGTATAAAGCGAACTCACACATGTGTTTATTGCAACACCCTATATCAGAATGCACGTATATAGTAGGTATTTATTAAATGGCAACTAAATAAACACTCACATAATCGGAAGATCTGTTCTACGTTCAACACATTTATTATTTAAAATATTTTTTCGTTATTTGTAACTTGACTAGTGATCTTATTGTTCTCACAAAGTTATTCAGTTATTCTACAATAATGAGTTCCAATGATTTACTTATGAACAACAGAGAAAAAGTATTGCAGGCTTTTGAGAAAACCGAAAAAGACCTTGCAGAAGATGTTAATATCATCAAGGAATGGATTAAAGGGCAACCGCATCTTCCAGAAGTCCCAAGTAAGTATTTTAACATTATTTTAATGATTAATTGTTGCATATAATAATGTAAGAGGTAGACTCACATATTTTGTATATTATTTTAATAATTATCCCTGACTGAATTAGTGGCATTAAAATGTAAAAATTTCAATATTAAAGAATAAAACTGTAGTATGTATAAAAACTGTATAAATAATTTCCCGAAAGTACACATTATTAGCTCCTGAAAATATCAAGAATTCAACAATCAGTCCTTATCACTGAGACTGGAATATAAGCAACAGAAAACGGAGCAAGTTATGCGCATATTATATGTACAAAATTTTAGCAAATATGCAAAATTTTTTAAAGAATATACGTAATATATACAAATGCGCACACCTTAATTATCGCTTAGTTCATAAATTTTGTATTTAGAAAGAAATTCATATAATATTAGTAATAATAATAATCAAAAATGACTTGCTACTAGTTTTTAAAAAATCGTATTTTTGATATACTTAGATCAAAATTGCATTTATTTCATTTATCATTATCAAAACAATTGACAATAATTTGTTTGTAACAATTTGCTACTAAAATATATTATTTTTTCTATCTGTGTATAAACGTTTCTAAATCAAAAAACTTCTGTCAATATCAACAGAAGTTATTGGTGCATTTTAAAACTTGTTTATGTTCAAGATCTGGTACAGGCTCACCTTAATGAACTTTCGCAACTTTTTCCAAAATAGAAAATCCTGAGTTTTGATTAAAACATATTGAATGTATTTCATACAGATATACCTACGTTTCTTTAACCACACGAAAAGATTTCTTAAAATGATTAATCAAATTAATTGATTCATAAAGGGGCAAATTTTAATTTTCAATTCTTTTGTGGCAACAAGAAATTTAATATTTAAGCTTGTATACTAGAATGTGTACTAGATTCTAAGTTAAATTAGGTAATTTAACAAGGCGTTGACATTCCTTTAGAGATGTAACCAAGTGTTCTCTCTCGAGATAGTAAGTACAAAGGGTAACGGAATAGTAGCCAGACGTTCTTTGGAAAGTTGAACTTTGTAATAGCTATTTTATAAAAACTGTTTTAACGTTATTCATTAAAACATTAACATGTAAAAATTTTTATTGTAAAACCCCTAAATGAAACTAATGTAAATTTTGGACATTGATACAGCTACTTATTCCTAAAAGATTCACCGACACTTCCTTTTTCTTCTTCTTCAGGTGCCATCTCCGCTACGGAGGTTGGCAATCATCATAGCTATCTTAATTTTTGAGGCAGTAGCTCTAAATAGTTGTTTTGAGCTGCATCCAAACCATTCTCTCAGGTTCTTCAGCCATGAAATTCGTCTTCTTCCGATGCTTCTTCTGCCATCTATTTTTCCTTGCACTTCCTTTTTGGATTCCGCAAAAACCCGTCCCACTAAACGTGTTTATGTATGCTTCATTTTGTTTTTATATAAGTTTTGTCAACTGTTTACCAATTACCTAAAACCTTTTATTGTAATAGCAGGTACGCCCAAAATAATTCAAAGCAACAGAGGTATTATTATTCCAGGATTTTTAATGAACAATTTTGAGAAAACGCTGACACATTTAGAAAATATTAGCATTCAGTATACATTTTTTTTTATGAAATATGCAGATATATGCAATTTTTCGTAAAAATATATAATTTATGCAAAATATGTCAGATATGCAAAAGTGCTGTTGTAAAAACAACTTACTTAATTATTGTAATCGTATTTTGTTATTATATCAACTTGTGCGCTCAAATCGTCACCTCTTGTGTTAATGTGTTTGCCACCCTCTCTTTCATAATCTCTCTTCACCCCGCCTTAAAGGACTTAGCTTAGGGCAAGAGACAAGAACAGTGCGAATTTGCCTCTCGGCAAGTGAAGACGGTGTGTGTTGTCGATCTCCAAAAGTGCGTGATGCGTAAGTGAAAGACGCCTTGTAAACCCGGTGTTTTGTGTTAAACCGTTTTGTTTCTCTCTGTAACTCGATGTATCTTTGTTACTGCCTCCTAGCACGTAAATCTAATGATATTTGTATAACTCTTTCTAGTATTATCAGAATTGCGATATTTATCAATGTTGAATCACCCCTACAAGTTCACAATAAATAAATCGAAGAAAAAAAATTAAGTGTTTTATAGCTTCAGTGGTCCTTAATAAATATTTTGAAGCAATTATGTGTTTAACAACACCTCTCTTAAATGTGGAAAGTTTGGTAACATATTTACCCTCTCCACCCATTTGTGGTCTCTTCGATCCGGATATTGTTTTTATCGCATTTATGGTCTCTTCTATCCGAATATTGTTTATCGCATATCTGCTCGATTTATCTTCATACATCAATTATTAATTTTCTCTCATTTAATTCTCTTCTTGTTAAATTTAAAAATAAATATCATTGCAAGTGCTCTCCGAAACCTTTTGTAGGTAGGTAACCGTTACCCGAAAGCTTAACTCAAGATTCTTAGACAATAATTCTTAGACCATACGTTATTTATTATGCAGGGTGGACTCTGTTGTCTTTTAAACTCTTAAATGTTTTATTTCTCGTGTATTTTCTCAGAACATTAAATATCTCGCCAAAGTTTCGATATATTGTAACAAAAAATATGTAAGAATATAACAAAAGTATGCATGCAATGAAACACAAGTAGTTGGGGGTAAAGTAAAAGATAACATATAATTTTAAAGTTGGCTAGCAAAAGTTGCCGGAGAGTGACTACTTGACACTCACAGGAGAATTCAGCCAATTTACATGCCCTACAGAGACCGTAGAATAAGAAAATAAATGACAAGGTTATAAAAAAAACTATAGGAATATAACTAAGATAAATAAAAGTGATTACAGAAGTTGCTCCAAAATGTGAGTGGGCACCAGGAAAGTATTTACATAAACTTTCCAAGGTATCTTGTAAAGCTATGTGCTGAAATAAAAAAAGGATATAGGTATGAATTGAAATATTTAATATTCACCAAAACTTTAATCCCTAGCCAAATATATACAATATAAATTTATCTTAAAATACCCACCACCAATTATGTACAGTCAACTTAATTATATACAAAAAATAAATGCCCTGGTTATACCCAACTGATCCTTGATGATCTAAATTTACAAATAATAAAATATGGGGAAAAATGGTAATGATTGACCAAAAAAGGTAATTTACTTGCCTCAGAGATGCAACTCTGTATTTTGGCTTTCAATTGAATGTAATTGTAACAAGTAATAAGGACACTATCTTGACGAGGTAATCGTCCAAACGTTTAAATATATAATAATAATAAAATCTTAAAAAAAAAAATAACTCTCTGATTAAATGTGTACACATAAAACCGAGTTAAAAGGGAGGATTTAAAACCTCGACCTGGACTTGACAATTTTAACACTTAAGTAATTTATAATTATTTAGAAAATATGACGGGTCTTTATTATTAAACGAACTATTAAGATTTTATGATTGAGAAAAAAAAAATTATAAACAAAATTATTAAATTAATGAACAAACAATATAAAAATTAACAATGGTCCACCCTCTAGATAAGGGAGGTCTTTCGGGCTGGTATCCGGAAGTGGTCCGAGAGTAGTTGGGGAGAGCTCTGGACCTCTGATGGAACAGACGGCAAATGGGCAAATTCAAAACGTAATTTTTTTCTTTGTGTAATCAATTCCCAAAATTGAATAAAAGAAAAATCCTTGACTCTGGATTTAACTTCTAGGAGTAGGCTAAAAAGAACAATTGTTTTACAGTCGATTCTTACGCTTAATAAAAGAAGGGGAAAATGCAAGGTTTATTAACAAATGAAATAACTTGAAAAATATGACAAAAAAGTTGCTGGGAAGCTTGTATCCAAGAAAAAAAGCTGTAATGATTTTGTAGATAATGTGACCTTTGCATGGTCTGACAATATTTGATGTAAAATAAATTGATCAAATAGATAATTTTAACGAAACACTTGCTACGGATATATTTTTGAATATAAAAGAACGGTATATAAGGCAGAATATTTTTACAGATAGTCTTAATTGATAATAGATACTTTTAATGATGGATAATTATATGTTTTTAAGGCTATGAAATTAAATAAAAAATTGATATGATTTTATAACATTATTATATATAAATCCAGAATGTTTCTTAAGAAAATAATGTGAGAAATGATAGATAGATATTACGCTATCGAAGGAAAAGTGACGATATTATCGAAGTTAAGATGGCTGATAGTTTTTACACTTTTTTTTATTTATAATTGTATCAACTCACCGACTAGAAGTGGCTTCTTAAATAAACGATTTTACACTACAAAACAACTGAAAACTCCTTATTCATCCTTCCCCAACAAAATTAATATTCTTTAAATAAATTTAGCCGGCCTCTATCGCCTACCCTTTTTTCCCTATTAAACGAAGTTGTTTCTCAAAAAGTTAAAACCAGAATAAGCGCTAATTACTAGCCGGATGGTCATATCGCCTTACAGCGCCGTAGGTGTCGCTGTTTAATATCAACTTAAATTTAAAAATTCATAAAATCATTAAGAGGATTGGGATTTTAAAATTTTATTTAAGAATGTTTACGGATTATTAAAGTAACGAACTCGTTACAATATCACGCAAAAATTTCGATACATCTCTAAAAAAATTCGATACATCTCTATCCGCATGGATCAACTGAAGAAACAACGTAAACCGCTTAAAGCAAAAATCTCTCGTATCTCTAATTAATTAAGTGATAACTCTGAACAAGAAACGGATCTTTTGCAGTTCCAACTCCATCATACTGAACTCACGTATTGCTACGCCAAATATGATGGCCTTATGGATCAGATTGAGGAACTGGACGACGAAAACACTGAAGAGGGCGATATGTCAGAAACTGAATAAAAGTACTTCTCAACTCTAGCAGGTATTCAACATAGAATGGAGATGCTCCAACCTCTTGCACACCAGTCTGGCTCCACTTCTCCACGTTTAGCTAGTGCTAAAGTGACTCTTAC